ATACAGAAATGTGAAGTACATAAAAAAAAAGTTTTATATGCACTGAGGTTGGAAACAAGCGAGAAACAGCGGGTTAGTGTATACATGGGCACAAAATATCTCTGAACCTGACTACGTAACAGTAAGAGGGGCAAGGAAGATGGAAAGGGCAGGGAGGGAGTAAAATTTCATATGCTAGGTAGTCTTCCCCTCCGGCCCCGGACCTCGTCTGGCTGGCCGACAGCACGTATATTTGTTAACGGCCAACGAGGTAGGAGATACCTTGCTACAACTACACAGCATATAGAGGTCAACACTAAAGGGTAAATGAATCTGTGATAACATCTTGCTCAAGTTATCTATAGAGCTTGAGGGACATGCGACCTTTCCAACAGACACATCTAAGAGAAGAAAAGGCATGCGGAATAAGCCAGCCACTATTGTATGATTCCTTGACGTGTTTCACTAAATACTCAAATGAAAATAAAGAACGCATCAAAGTTTTAAACAAGAAAACTGATTAAGTTATACATTTACATTAACGGAGAAAGCATAAAGAAATTGACACGAGAATTTCATGCAAGGGCGAAAATGGAAAAGAATGTCTCACTCATACTTGCCGCAAGATTATTAAGAAATGGTACTCTGTGCAGGAAATATAAACATACGTCTACCTGATTCTTGTTCATGCAATCCATTAGGGCTCTCACCACTGATGGAGAAGGTTGAATCCTGTAAGTTCCTCTGGCCCTTGCTTGAGGGAGTGGTAAGCCGCGGTTCAGGGGCCTGTGAGGCCACCACAGTTGGCTCGTGAACAGGTGTCGGTGTGGATGGCTTGCTTTCAGCCGTACCACCAATATCATTCTCAACGTTATTTCTTGACACCGAGTTAGATACCTTCTCCTGTTCATAAAAATAAATAACATTCATGCAGACCTTTTTTCAATTTTGGAACAATATAATAATGGCATGAACAGTTCAAACACTTCACAGGGCCAAATGAAAGAAATTTGAACACAATGATCAGGTATAAATCGAACAGAACAGAGACAGAGCTATATTAGAATTTATGTCCATATGTTATACCTCCTCTCTATTTTTCACCATGTTGTACACATAAGGTGGGAAGACTGGTGTTGGGATAAAGTTTCCATGTCCTTGAACAGCTTTCAGGTCACCCTCATCCACACAAACTCTGCCATTGACAATCACGTACTCTGGGACGCCATGACATTCCATACCCTGAAAGTAATAGAGTTACTTTAAAATGCATTAAAACTTTTTTCCTGTGGGGTTAT